ATATTAATAGATATATTAATAAATAAATTAATATATATAAAGCTGTATTCAACAGCCCACCACTGCTAAAGAAAGAAGATGCTAGACGGCAACAGAAACGCAGTGAGGCGGCGGGGGCTGTGCATGGTCTGCTTGTCTTTAGAGTGTTCAGAATACTGAGAAAAAAGAAGAAAAGAAATGAAGAATTTCAGTTCAAGTCGACGGCGTTGTTGATGGGTGAATGCAGTGTATATACACCTCAGAGTAGAGGGGGCTGCGCGAGGCTTCTTCTCTGTTGCTTCTGTAGCAGCTGTATGCATGCATAGAAGGAAACAAACAAAAAATTAAGAAGCAGCGGTATAAAAAGATCGAATTCAAATAAAGAAAGACATTTGGGTTTAAACAACTCCTGAAATATGTTTTTTGGGGTTGAATCACCCTAAACCCTAAACCCTAAACCCTAAACCCTAAACCCTAAAAACCTGAAACCCTCGGCGTCTACTGAAAGCAGTTGCAGGAGCAGTGGAGCCTGTCGCAGGTTAAAATGTGAGGAAAACGCGGCACTTAGTTATTTATTTCATCTTTTTCTTTTTATTTTTCTAAAAACGCAATTTAAAAGTTCAAGTTTCCACCTGCAGCTCAGCACACGCCACCCCGTTCAGTCGGAGCTGCGCATACACCTCACCGCCGTGCAGGGTTGCATCGGCAGCTGCAGCCTTCTTTCCGTGGATTTGTTTGGTTTTTCCTTTTTAATTTTAGAAAATGCAGCAACTACACCCTCCGACTCCTAGAATCCCCGCTGGGGGTCCAAGCGGTGCAACAGCAGCAACGACAGCAGCAACAGCCGCAGCAACAGCTGCAGCAACAGCTGCAGCAACAGCAGCAGCAGCTGCTGCATACAGAACGGCGTTGATACAGCCTGCAGGTAACACAGGTGCTGCTGCTGCTTCTTGTCTCTTACCGGCTCCTTCTTGCACAGGGGCTCCTCCTGGTGGTGGGCCTCCCCCCCCTTCTCCTCCTGCTGCTGCTGCTGCTGCTGCTGCTGCTGCTGGCGTTGGTGGTGTTCCTGCTGCAGCAGCAGCTCGTGGTGGTGTTTCCAGCGACGGTGTTATTTCTTCAAGCATTTCAAATGGGGGTTTATCCTCTGAGCACTACATGCAGCCAGTTTCTGCCTCATCCGTTCCCTCNCAAGCATTTCAAATGGGGGTTTATCCTCTGAGCACTACATGCAGCCAGTTTCTGCCTCATCCGTTCCCTCATCAGCAGCAGCAACAGCAGCAACAACAGCAACAACAACAGCAGCAGCAACAACAGCAGCAGGAGGGTCTAGCTTACATTCCCTAGAAACTTATGTTATGGGGGATGGCCCCCGCATAACAACTGCAGCAGGATACCGCTTCGGGGTTACGCGGCCTATATCTCTGAAGACGGGTTCAACCGCAGATTTACATAAAAGCGTAGAGCTGGTGAGGGTGCTGAGACACCAGGGTGTATACGAGACAGCAGCAGGAGCACGAGAGAAAGAAGTAGTATTATCGGAGTTGAATAAGTTGCTGGGTGAGTGGGTGATAGAATGTGGTATAGAACAAGGTCTAGACCCAGCCGAAGCAAGAGAAACAGGCGGAAAAATATTTACATTTGGTTCTTATCGTTTGGGTGTATGTACACCTGGGAGCGACATCGATGCTCTTTGTGTGTGCCCTAAACATGTATCCCGAGAAGCTTTTTTTTCTGCATTTCAATCAAAACTACAACAAGACAGCCGAACAAGCAACATAACCCCAGTCCCTGATGCATACACTCCAGTATTGAAGTTTCGTTTTCTAGGTGTAGAGATAGATTTATTATTTGCACGTTTAGCATTGAGGTGTATACCCAGCTCATGGATAGGTTTATGTGAAGATGAAATATTAAAACATACAGATGAAAAAACTGCAAGAAGTCTTAATGGTTCTCGTGTTGCAGATATGTTATTAGAGTTGGTTCCGAACCCCACTGTATTCCGTACAAGTTTAAGATTTATAAAACAATGGGCGAGGGCCAGGGGTATATACAGTAACGTTATGGGGTATCTGGGGGGCATCAGCTGGGCTATACTCGTGGCTCGCTGCTGCCAGCTCTATCCTAACTTTCCTCCTTCTCTTCTTATTCAACGCTTCTTTACGGTGTATACGCAGTGGCCATGGAATAGAAGCCCAGTCTGTCTTTGTAAAATTAAAGAACCTAATACAGTCAAAGGGATTCCGGAATTCAAAGTATGGAACCCGCAGCTTTATGTACAGGTAAACCCTAAACCCTAAA